TTGTAGAAAGAAATCTTTTAAAATGGTAAGAGATCTGTGGAGGAGATGAGCCAATTGTCAAATCATTTATAATTTTATGGGTTTTCACGTGTTGCATGAATCTCTATCATTAAAGCACCAAGGCGGGTTCCTGAAGCCTTGCACCCTATCTGGCTAAAATGTTTGAAAATTATGCCACTGATACATCATTCATTTCATTCTTTTAGTTTATACTCTGAAACCTTCATTTCTTTATTCATTGATTCATTGCCTTGTAGTCTTTATTCCTTATTCATTTTCCATTTGTAGAAGAGATTGTAAGTATGCAAATTGTACCGAAATCCATTCAAATTGAATAAAATTTTTGTTACTTCTTCACATTTGTGTGGAGTAAAAGCAAGTTCCAATATTCTGATGATCATGTTTTACTTTTATTTAATGGGAGCCCACTCGGCTGTGTTCAATGAAAGATGTTATTTGATTAATAAAGGTAGCATGATATTAATCAATTCATAACTGTCAAACCATAAACAAGGGGGGGAAGAACATGGAGAAAAATGAAACTTTATGCTCATTTAGGTAGGATGAACTCTAATTAAATACAATCAAGCACTTGATGGTGAATTCAAACTAAAAAAAGGAAAGGAGATGATTGATTAATGTGAGTGGTGTTTTAAAATAACTCATTTTTTTCCGCCTAAATCAAAGCTTGTTTTAGATAAGTTTTATAACTCCCAAAATGGAGTGATAAGTAAACAAAACCCCCAGAAAAAGCCACAATTTTGGGTTTGGTGCTTCTGTTTGTCCTTCTTTCTAACCCCTTCCTTATTAGTATATATATACAAAGAAAAGATTCTGTTGAGATAATTCTGAGCCCATTTTAGACAGAAAAAAAAACACAAAGACAGAGACCGCCATCAACGTTTTCTAAACCCTTATCTTGTCAATGCCAAAAAGCCTCCACACCAAATTCCAGGCATGCTTATCATCAAGCTGAAACTTGTCCACTTCCAACATCCAATCAGATGATCAAACACCAAAAGTAATCATCTTTCACATACAATGAACTTCATATGGCAAAAGCCTTCTCAAGACAGAATTTTAACATATTTCTCGCAAGACAGTAAATTATAACATTAAAGAAAAGAAAACCCTTCATGTCAAATTAAAATAAAAACCCAGAATTTATTTTCATCGTTCTGTTCTGTACATAGATTAAACAAAATCTAAGTAACAGAGTGTTAAAGATTTCACCAAAAGGTGAAGAAAAAACTTAACATTGACATTCTTGAACTGGAAAAACTAAACCCGCAATAATGAAAAACACCGGTAGCGCAAAAACAACAAGAGAAAAGGAAGAAAAAAAAAAAAAAAGCTAACTCATGGGAAAAATAGAGGGAATAAAATTTAAATAAGTTCATGGACTTGTGATTAAGCTCTTCTAAACCCGAATTAATAAATAATTAATAATGCTTTCTCCATCTATCAGATCCAATAAATAAAATTAACTACACCCACCTCACAATCAATGCTTAAAAGAAAAACAGACTTTAATAATTAATTAATTATAAAGAAATCTCCAACGGTCAAAAACTTGACGAGCCCCACCAACGTTAACTCGCTGTCGAGTAACCGTTACTTCTCATTCCCTCTCTCCTGCAACATAACATAACAGCTACTTCACTTTCAGCTCACCTTCTGGAATCCGGGTCACTGTTTCTCTCTCCAAAGATCCAATCTTTCGCTCAGAAATAAGCGTTACACCTCAGTTTCGTATCTGGGTTTTTGTTACTTTCTCTAAGCTCTCTCCCTTTCTCTTGTATAATGGAGCCAGCAAAAATTGACTGGAAGAGAATAGAGTCGGTGTTTGTTGAAGATAAAGTTTATGAGACTATCAATGCACCCAAATGGGTTGATTTATTGGCTCCTGATGAAGTTCATGTTGATGATGAAGCCTGGTTTTGCAGACCCGGTAAAGTTTTTTTTTTTTCTTTTTTCTTTCTTTAATTTGCATTAAAATGTATGTGTTTTTTGTGTTTTGAGTAATGGTTTTATTGAATTGAATTGGTTTGTTTATTGTTGTTTCAGATTGTAAGCATCCAAAGACAGCTGAGGATTTGTTTAAAACACCGCCAAGTTCTAAGGTTTTAATCTCTATTTCCATTTATTTTCACATAAGAAAATAGTAGCATCAATGGAGTAGTTGAGGTAAATTTTGTTCTTTTATTACTTTTCTCATTCCTTTGTTTTGGTGAAGATTTCAAGATCAATTGAAAGACTTCCCCTTGGAGAGAGGAATCAAAGGTACCAATTTAAGTTCTTTGCTTTTTGTTCTTTTGTTAGTCCAAAGAAGTTCAGATTCAATTAATCAAAGTAAAAACTCACTCTTTTTTGTGTATTTTTTTCTTATTTGGTTTCAGAGATGAAAGATTGAAGAGAAGTGGACAAAGTCAAACATCGTTTGTATCGAATGATAAGCCAACCAAATTCTGTGAAGACAGTGAAAATCAGAACCCAAATTCAGTAACACCCCAAAATCAAGTTAAGTCTTTGAAAGCTGCTATCAAATCAAGCAGTGAAAAGTACAATAAACAGATCAATGACACTTCACAAAATGATGAAGTTTTGCCAAGACTAAAAGCCACACTTTCAGCAAGGAACTTATTAGCGGGCAGAGATATATTCAATCATATTACAGACTTTTGCAATGAGATGAAGAAACTGGCAACGAGAGTGAGGGAGAGGGAGAATGTAGAAAAGTTGAATGTGAGGAAGGGTCAAGAGGGTGAGAATATCACCGTTGAAAATGAGGGTTCTTCTGAGGTTTTAGGTGAGTTGGATGGGAGAGAGAAGGAGAGGAAGCCATTGCTTGAGGTGTTGGACAAAGAGAAATCTGAAGGTTCTGAGATGGGAAATGCTAAGGACAAGCAAAGGAGGAAGAAGTAAGTTCATTAACACTGTAAATTCTGTGCAGATGATAGGTGATTTTAATTATTGAGTTGTTTGTAAAAATTGCATAATCATTTGATCTAATTGGCTGCATTATGACCCTTTTAAACTACCATTTTTCATAGCTAGAGAAAAAGATGATTGAGCCATCTGATTGATCACAATTCTTTTTTAGCTCAAGAAAAATTTGTTCTTATTGCAGTGAACTAATGACATATTAAGACTTTTGGTTTGCTAACTAAGCCATTAAGAATTTGTGGTTTTTAGACTGTAGAAACCATCAAGTTGACCTGTATATGTGACTAAAAGGTTGATTGATGTCCAATTGGTGCAGAAGATTTGATGAGTCAGAAAACATCCCAGTCTCTTTGAATTTGGAGAATGTGAAGAAAAAAGGAGAGGACCGTTTGTTGCAAATCAGAACTAATCCCCCCTCTCCTCAATGCTTTTCTGCCACTCGTACTGCTGGAAGAACAACCCCTTCAAAGTCGTCTGCATACAGGTCGATGGTACGTAACTGGCTATGCTTCATTCTGTCTTCAATTAGGGCAGTTCAGAGTATTATCCTGTTAATAAAGACTAGTGTACCAAATATGCTATGGTTTATAATAGAAGAATCTTGCAATGTCTAAACTGTTAAAATCAAGGATTTCTGAACTGCAATGAGCTGATAATTCTATCATGAACTATCATTTAAATGACGAAAGAGAAGGGAAACAGAATGTTTTGTGCATTATTGCTCTGGTTCTAAGAGTTAAGTCAATATAAATGCTTGGCTGCAAATAACTGCATATAGATTTGCTTGATGTTACACTAAAGTGATGATGTTGTGACCAGGAGAGGAGAATACTTCAAGAAGTGGAACAGAACAAGGAGGCGAAAAATGGAGCTGTAGATAAAGGGAAAAGTGTTTCAATTGTTGAGGGAAGAGAAGCAAGAACTCTGGATGTATTTTGGTTCCTGAAGCCTTGCACCCTATCTGGCTAAAATGTTTGAACATTATGCCACTGATACAATTCATTCATTTCATTCTTTTAGTTTATACTCTGAAACCTTTCTATTCTTTATTCATTGATTCATTGCCTTGTAGTCTTTATTCCTTATTCATTTTCCATTTGTAGAAGAGATTGTAAGTATGCAATAATTGTACCGAAATCCATTCAAATTGAATAAAAATTGTTTGTACTTCTTCATCTCCATTTGTGTGGAGTAAAAGCAAGTTCCAATATTCTGATGATCATGTAAAATTATTACTTTTTATTTAATGGGAGCCACACTTTTCGGCTGTGTTCAATGAAAGATGTTATTTGATTAAATATAAGGTAGCATGATATTAATCAATTCATCAACTGTCAAACCATAAACAAGGGGGGAAGAACATGGAGAAAAATGAAAACTTTATGCTCATTTAGGTAGGATGAACTCTAATTAAATACAATCAAGCATCTGTAACGGTGAATTCAAACTAAAAAAGGAAAGGAGATGATTGATTAAAAAATCTTTATATGCCCCACTGAATGTATCTTTATAAAAGTAGCATTGCTCTTGATTAAATGTGGTGTTTAAAAATAACTTCATTTTTTCCGCCTAAATCAAAGCTTGTTTTAGATAAGTTTTATAACTCCCAAAATGGAGTGATAAGTAATAACCAAAACCCCCAGAAAAAGCCACAATTTTTGGGTTTGGTGCTTCTGTTTTGTCCTTCTTTCTAACCCTTTCCTCATATTAGTATATATATATACAAAGAAAAGATTCTGTTGAGATAATTCTGAGCCCATTTTAGACAGAAAAAAACAACAAAGACAGAGACCGCCATCAACGTTTTTTAAACCCTTATCTTGTCAAATGCCAAAAAGCCTCCACCTACCCAATTTCCAGTCATGCTTATCATCAAGCTGAAACTTGTCCACTTCCAACATCCAATCAGATGATTCTAAACACCAAAAGTAATCATCTTTCACATAGCAATGAACTTCCATATGGCAAAAGCCTTCTCAAGACAGAATTTTAACCTAATTTCTCGCAAGACAGTAAATTATAACATTAAAGAAAAGAAAACCCTTCATGTCAAATTAAAATAAAAACCCAGAATTTTATTTTCATCGTTCTGTTCTGTACATAGATTAAACAAAATCTAAGTAACAGAGTGTTAAAGATTTCACCAAAAGGTGAAGAAAAGACTTACACATTGACATTCTTTGAACTGGAAAAAACTAAACCCGCAATAATGAAAAACACTCAGGTAGCGGCAACAACAACAAGAAGAAAAGGAAGAAGAAAAAAAAAAAAAGCTAACTCATGGGAAAAATAGAGGGAATAAAATTTAAAAAAAAAAATCTAAATAAGAGAAAATAATTAATCCCATATATACAAACCAGGACCCGATTAAATCGAAAAGAGCTAACATAAATCTAATCTAAGCGCAAGTTGCAGAGCATACAGTCCAAGATCCTGGACCACACGAAGCGCGCACGTGGGTAGATTCTCCTCGTGTACGTTCTTGACTCTCGAACAAAATCCTCCATGGTTTCCACAAAAAGATTCAAGCTTCTCACAGGAGGAACATAGAGAGTCAAAGGGACGGCAGAGAAAGCCACAGTGAAGAACAGCTGCAACATTATGAAAGTTGGTCGTGGTGAAGAAGTAAGGGAGGTTTCTTCCCGGTGGGTTTGGAGAGTAAAAGGTTTGAGAAAATTTTTGAAGTGTAAATTACGGTTAGAATTGGTGACTAAAAGGATCGAAGAAAGAGAGAAAAGGGATAAGTTCTGGAAATCTAAAGAAAGATAAAGATTTTTATTGATTGATTATTCAGAGTTTCTTTTCACGTTTCCAAAATAGACTGGTTGGTAGGTTGTTGGAAATGACTTGGTGGCTGGCTTCCTACGCAGATTATTTTTATATATTAATTTAAGAATTAGAGTTTTATTAGGGTGTAAAATATAGGCCAACTGTTTCTATTGCTTTTATGGATTATATTTTACTATTTTAGGCATCATATATTTGCAAAATTAATTCCTTTATAAAGCATCTACAAATAACTTTTTATATAATTTAAATTCTTTATTATAGAGAGTCTATTTATAAAAACAAGAATTTAACATATTTTTTATCTTTAAAATATAAATTAAAGAGTGAGTTTTGTTCTTTATATTTAGAAAGTTAAATTTCATTCTCTATTCTAATTTTAATTAATAAACTATAAATTCTTATGTATTTTATTTATTAATTCTCTCTACCATTAAGTCTTTTTCTTAAAAATAAAGAATATTTTCATTAAATTTAAAGAGTCTATTAGATTTGAATGAAAATTATGTTCTCTATATTTAAAAATTAATAAAGATAAATATGCTCTTTAAAATAAAGAGTACCATTAGAGATGCTCTAATGTGTATTTTTTTTCATACCTAGATTATACTAATAGTAGATACATTATCTTCGAGTCATTCTCTATATAGATATTTAGGGTCCATTTGTTTAATTATTTTTGCTTTATCCTATCCAAAATATACATTTATCTTATCCAAAATATACATTTGTTTCCCTATTCTGAAAATCATATTTTATTTTATTCACTTATTTTTAAACTCTATAAGTTTGTTAATTTAACTAAACACCCCCCAAAAAAAGTTTAGAAATTGACAAAAACACCCCCTCTACCCACATTTTCCAGATTCCGACCACCATCGCCAGAAGATGGCTGGAATATAGTATAATGGAGCATTACCGGTTGGATTTGGTCGGTAGTGTGCCGATTTAGCATTTTGCAGTCAGATCCACTATGGATCTAGTCGGAAAAAGCCAGATATGGCCGTCGTTGATGACCAAACATGTCTAGTCATCAATGGCCAAATTTGGGATCCACGATGGATCTGATCGGAAAAGACTATATCGACGCACGACCGGTTAGATCTGGCTGGTCGTGTGTCGATACGGCGACTCCGGCCACCCTCCGACAGTGATAGTCAGTTGTCGGCATTTAATGGGTACGTGGGGTATTTTTGTTAATTTCAATATTTTATTGCAAAGGTGTTTAGCTAAATCAATAAACCTAGGGGGTGTTTTGTTAATTTTTAAATTTTGCCTCGTAATAACTACCAAATGCTTGCTTTTTCAAAAATCATATCCAAAATAATAAAAGAAGCGCACCATATACCTTCTTTTTAGATTTGGATCATGTTTATACATGTCGGTTAAGGATTCGTAAATGGTAAAAGATGTCGATTTTTAACTTTGCAAGTAATGAAAATTTATTAGGATAGTTATTGTATGAGGTCTACCCAACAATTTTCTGAAAACCGGACCGGGCAATGACCCGTTCAAGGGTCCGGTTTCCGGTTTGACCGGTTTGACTGGTTGGATCGGTCGGTTGGACCGTAATTTGTAAAATTACATTTTAGTCCCTAAAGGTTTAAAATTCATCAAAAACACCCCTATAATACTGCCTTAAGGTTTGAAATCTATCTAAAACACCCCTGTCATGCGAAGATTTTGGTGAGTGGTGACGGCAGCGACGATCGACGGCCAATGGAAGCTGGAATCTTGGGGCTTTTGATGTGTAGGTGCCGACGACTCTGATGATGGTGCCACGGAGTTCCATCGGCGCCGGAATCAACAAAATAACTCTGACGGTAGCGTGAAGTTTAGGTGGACGGCGAGCGACGATGGCCACTGAAAATGGCAGGGTTTTGTAGTGGAGATGCCGTCAAGTCTAATGGCGGTGATTTCTCCCTCGATCGGTGCCGGAATCCGGCGAGATTCAACCGCGATTGGACCGCGATTCGGCACTATTCTGGCGGTTCAACCGCGGTCCAATCCGATTTAAATGCAAATAACGGTTTTTTACTTATTCCGGACCGGAAATGCCGCCGGTCACCGGTCGAACCGGTCCGACCGGATGGTCCGGTCCGGTTTTCAGAACCTTGCTACCCAATGCTAGATGCAGAGGCACAATAAAACCAAATTTTATATCTCGCAATCACCTCAATCAACCTAGGTATTCCATTTCTGAGATTGAGAGTTCCAAGGCTTGGTAGAGGCTTTGACACCGAAGCGAAGGTAGTCGCCTGTTCACTCTCCTTCAATCGATTTAGATATTGAATCGTATCTTTTGGAGAGAGGTGTATAAGCTCTCCCTTTGACTCAAGAGGGCGTTCCACCACTACGACTGATATAGACGCAGTTCCCTCCTGAAAAAAATATCAAAAGGGAAGCCCCGCCATGGGGCAAATTGCCTATTTTATCTTTTACAGGTATAAAATAAGTAAAACTCAAATTTACCAAAAAAATAAAAAAAATGTGAGTATTAGTAAAGTAAAAATATTAATTCAGCAAATGAGAATGAAATATAGGGTTGTTAAAGAATACCTAATTTAATTTGTATAAATTTTTTTTTGAGTAAACCCAATAATTATTTCTCCCGTAACTTGAACACGAGACCCTTGAGTATAACTAACCCTAGTGAAATTTGTATAAAATTTTAACAATAAGTACATCTAAAATAATAGGGTAAACAACATTTTTCCCACCCATGGTTTGCCTTAATACATTTTCCCACCCAAAAACTTTCAAAATACCACTTTTTCACCCAAAGTTAATATTTAGTTACTACCAAAAGCTGATTCCAGCCAATTTCAACAGCGAAAATTCTCTCAATCACCACCATTTGAACATTCAGTCTCCTCTCTACAAAAGCTTTTTCACTCCAGTACTTGATTTCTCCCCAATTGCTAGCCACCATAAAGCTAGAGTTTTCGTGTTTTTAGTTGATTTATGGCTGATTCTGACAGCTAAATATTTAGTCGGTCACAACCATTCGATCCACTAGCTTCTATTTTATAAAACCCCTCTTATCTTGACTCATGATAACTCATCTAATGTCAGTTGAAAAAGTAAAGTGTATTTTAGATATTAATAAAATATAAACTTTGGGTAGAAAATAAGTATTTTAAAACTTTTTGGGTGGGAAAATGTCATTAAGGCAAACCTTGAGTGGAAAAAGAAAGTCAGTTTGCTCAAAATAATATCACGTAATTGGTTGTCAATTTTAATGTGCAAAATTGATGTTGTAACATCATACTAAATATTTTTACGGTACAAAGGGTGAACGCTTGTAAGGAGATGAGTGGATAGAGTTCATTAATGGCCGTGTCCGTTAGTTGTTGAATTTGAAAGGCGACATACGATGGCTATTCAATGCTTGGCAAAAGCATATATAAATATAGCTGTTTTGACTTGAGGGCTCCAGAAAATAACCTTTGCTTGTACAATCTTTAATTTATGGGGAAACTAGTGGAGCACACCGAGTCTTGTAGAAAGAAATCTTTTAAAATGGTAAGAGATCTGTGGAGGAGATGAACCAATTGTCAAATCATTTATAGTTTTATGGGTTTTCACGTGTTGCATGAATCTCTATCATTAAAGCACCAAGGCTATTGAATAAAACATGTGTAATGCTCCAAATTTTCAAGACTTTTCCTAAAAATTGACCAAACCCACGAGATTTTTGCTAGAAATTGTTCTTGTACACAATATATGATCAATTAATTTGAATATTTATATTAATGACTCTTTATATCAAAAGAACACTGCTTTGGGCCCATTCACGAGGGTTGGCCCACTTTACTCAAAGCACCCCTAGCCGCTTGAGTGATGCGCTTAGGCCACTGGGGATGAAGCGGGCTGGGCTGGGCTGCTTGAGCGGCTCGGGTCCATCGGGCCGCTGAGATTAAGAAGCCCAATTATTTCACTTTTCCACGTGTCGAAACCTAGCTACGATCTCACGGAAGAATCAATAGACTTGAAGTACTGGAGTTACGCTCTAAAATTCACTGCCCTCTCCTTCTCAGACTCAGCTCTTTCATATAAGCAATCGCAAAACAGAAGACCAAACAGAGGAGATTAGGTTTTTTTCAACTTACGAAATGGCAACGGCCGGACGTATAAGATCGAGTCTGTCTCTCTTCAGCAAAGTTATCAGATCCGATTCTGTCGCTTCTCAGCGATACATTCTTCATCCGCAGGTAACGAATCGCGACACAGAAAGTGTTTTCATTGTTTTGGAATCTGATCTTACGAATTGATATCTTAGGTCCTATTTCATGTTTAGTCGATGATAATATTGGTCACCTTTTTTTAAGTTTGCTTCAATAGAGCTGAATTTTTCTTGATTGTTGAAATGCTGTCTAATTTTGGTGCATTGTTTTCTTACAGTTGTCGAAGAATTTTGCAACGGTCCCAGGGCAAAAGGAGGAGAAAGTTAAGGTAAGTGAGGGAGTATAAACTCAGTTGTTCTCAGTGTATTTTGTTTATTAGGGATTAAAAAAGAAAAAACATTTGTGAAGAGTTCAGTTTGTTGCGAAGCTTGATTCTTGATAAGGTTTGATTTGCAAATTAGTATTGTAGTTATGCTGGGGGTTTACTATATTGTTAATAATGTGCTGATATGTTTTTTGTTTAATCTAAATGATTTTGTATGTTGTCAGGAACATTAGAGTATTTTGTATGTTCAATCAACGCTGTGAGCCAGTTTGTTAATATACATAGAAATGGGAAATGTAGAGTTTGTTTATTAGTAATCTGTTTCATTTGTTTCTTTTAACCCTGTTTCGGTTGTTGATGTTTTAGGTGCCTATGGCCTTGTTTGGGGGAACTGGAAACTATGCCTCTGCATTGTTCCTTGCAGCAGTGAAAGCTAATTCCCTTGAGAAAGTTGAGACTGAGCTTCTTGATCTTGTTGAGGCTTCAAAGAGAGCTCCTACATTTTTTCAATTCATGAAGGACTTGGCTGTGCCTGCAGATATAAGAGTTAAGGCCATTAATGATATCTGCGCTCAAGCTAAATATTCAGAGACTACAAAGAACTTCTTGGGTATGATTGTAACTGGTTTGATTTTTGAAATTTGAAAATGTCCCGTAGCGGCATTAACATGTGTTGTTTTTCCTTTTTGTTTCTGCATTTATACATTATGTACAATAGTGAATAAGTTTGATAGTGTTTTTTTTTTTTTTTTTTTGGGGGGGGGGGGGGGGGGGGGGGGCGCGGGGGGGGGGAGAACTTTCTTGTGAAAGTCTGTATGTTGCTGGTGACTGTATAACTTAATATTGTTAAGGTAAATTTATATGCTCTGATTTGATTTTAGCTTCTGATTACTTAGATGCCACATCAACTTAATCATCGGCAGATGCCCCATTCCTCCTACTTGTATGATTTGGTGGGGTTTTACCTATTAGTTTCCTACAACAACTTGGTTTCAACTTCTCTGGTTTGGTCATAAGTGAAGCCAGAAATTTTGGACTTGACAGCACACTGAGAAAGTTTAGGTGATGGTCTTTGGATTGATTAGAGTCAGTGTTATTGTTCCTAATTTAGTTTGAGGCTGTGCATTTATCCCCCAGGGTTGCGTTCAGTGGTTAAGACATATGGCTTCCAATCAAGAAGTAGGAATTCAAACTCAATAAATTCATAAGAACAGTTGGGGAATTTCTAGAGTAAAAAATAATATTAATAATAAAAAGAAGGCTATCACAGTTACCAGACCTCCAATCATTACTTGTGTTTTTTCAATAGCATTATTTTAATTTTATTTGTTAGTTTTCTAGTTTGGGCTATATTCGGTTTTCTTGAATGATGGTAGATGTGTAGTGTATATAGCACTTATTAAATGTAAGAAAGGTCATAGATTATGTCAATGATTTATTGAAATTTCCTACCAGTTGTATTGGCTGAGAATGAGAGGCTGAGGTATGTAGACAGCATTGCAGAGAGATTTGTGGAGTTGACTATGGCACATAAGGGAGAAGTGAAAGTAATTGTCACAACTGTCATTGTAAGTTTACTCCATCAATTTTGAAATTTCTATTGGAAAGAGTCATTTGTTATTTCACTTGTACAGAGCACTTGTATTCATTTTTTATTTCATATGGAAATTGATGGTTAATCTTAAACTTATATTAAGCAAATGTATTGTAGCATAATTATAATGGGCTTTCATGTGTGTATACTTATTTATTGTGCATTCACTGTTTACGAACTTGCTGATTTATGGGAATGTTATTGTAATGCAGAAATAAATCCTTAATCTGTGAGCCATATTTGGCTTCTTTCCCTAGAAATTGTGTTTTTTATGCAAATAACACTTTTATAAGCTTGATGTTTACTTTGATCTGTGCTGTGTACTGTTATATACATCTTCTGTCACCCAATGCTAGGTGGACCTTATCATGTCAACGTCTTATATTGTTCTTGACATCCACAAATTTGCTGCTTGAATTGAGAACCTTTCTAACATGTTTAAAGCCATCATTACTCCTAAATTTCCTCTTCTCAACTGTCGTGATTTTGTGCCAGCCTCTCCCCCCAGAAGAGGAGAAAGATTTGAAAGAAACACTGCAAGATATACTTGGAATAGGGAAGAAGGCTAAGGTTGAACAAAAGGTACTATTTATAACCCATGAACAAAGTTGCTTGTATTTCATTTCAGAGTTCAGTTAACAGGGGAAGTGTATTTAAATTTCTCTTATATATGCCAGATTGATCCAAGCATTCTTGGTGGACTCGTGGTAGAGTTTGGGCAAAAGGTGTTTGACATGTCCATTAAGACTAGGGCACGACAAATGGAGAGGTTCCTGCGTGAACCTGCTAACTTTGGCATCATCTAAGGCGCCAGTCACCCAAGCACTAGATTTTCAAGTTACTTCTGCATAATTTGGGATGCTCCAAGAAGAAAAAAAATTACTTATATTCTTGTTTGATTCTGTTTGATCATGCTCTGCCTTTTCATGTGATGGAATGCATCCATTGGAAAATAAAAGTTACTTTTGCCTTTCACATTACTTTAAAGCAAAAACAACTATTAGACTTAACTTTTCTTTTTGTGGTTCTCCGTTTAGTGATACCATTTGTGATCATAATTTGTTCAAATACTCTTTCTTGCACATGAACAAAATCCTGTACATGGTTTGCATTCTTTCTTTCGGACTTTAAGCGCAGATGCTTTTACGCTGACTTGCTGGTTTGAGATAGATGTTGCTGCTCGCTCTCAGCTCAATAGGTGTTAATTAATGGCGAATTCGTATGTAATCAAATCAATGCACTTGTGAGTAATCACTTTGCCACCAAGCTAGAGATGGGAATATTGGAGCCTTACAAGAATATTTCTTGTTGGCATTAACATAAATGGTTTATCCGCACAATGGAAAAGAATATAATATGAAGTCAATCTAAACGACGTATTTTGCTGTGAAGGCTCTACATAATAATTGGGTATTAAAAGAAAAGTGGGGAAGAAATGTCCAATCTGGCCAAAAATAGAAAAGGAGAGTACATTAATATTAACCTTCAAATGCAATTGTTTTGCTAAGCTTTCCGATGTGACTTGTCATATAATGGAAGCAAACCTGATTCTCTCATATGCCCATAGAATGTTGATCTCTAAAAGGAAAAGCAGTTTTTACGCATTTTTGACTAATATGAAATTTCTACTCATTTTATGCCCATATAGCTGAATCAATAATTGCAATATCCATATTCTTAAACGGTAAAGAANTGCTTTTACGCTGACTTGCTGGTTTGAGATAGATGTTGCTGCTCGCTCTCAGCTCAATAGGTGTTAATTAATGGCGAATTCGTATGTAATCAAATCAATGCACTTGTGAGTAATCACTTTGCCACCAAGCTTGAGATGGGAATATTGGCGCCTTACAAGAATATTTCTTGGTGGCATTAACATAAATGGTTTATCCGCGCAATGGAAAAGACTATAATATGAAGTCAATCTATACGACGTATTTTGCTGTGAAGGCTCTACATAATAATTGGGTATTAAAAGAAAAGTGGGGAAGAAATGTCCAATCTGGCCAAAAATAGACAAGGAGAGTACATTAATATTAACCTTCAAATGCAATTGTTTTGCTAAGCTTTCCGATGTGACTTGTCATATAATGGAAGCAAACCTGATTCTCTCATATGCCCATAGAATGTTGATCTCTAAAAGGAAAAGCAGTTTTTACGCATTTTTGACTAATATGAAATTTCTACTCATTTTATGCCCATATAGCTGAATCAATAATTGCAATATCCATATTCTTAAACGGTAAAGAAATTTATATGCCTGTTCTTTGGCCATTTCCATATCCTACTGTTAAGATGGTTGAAAAATTCTGCATCTCAAAATCCAATTGCTTTATTTTGAAGGAATCACCTTCCACTGTTTAACTTCTCACCCCTCTTCCATGTTAATGTGAAAGTGTGATAGCTTTTCATGCCATTATTTCCTGAATCAGCTTCTCTTCTTCTAGTCCTGGCCCAGCATTTTAACATAAATCAAATTAAATGATAAAAAATAATCCATGTGTAATGTACAAATCTAGTACAAATTCGTAACAACTTTCAAGTCTAGTTGTATTTTCTTGTCTTTTTAACCAAGTAGGATGTTGCTTTGTTCAGCCACACAACTCCCCCCGTGGACAGGTGTTGATAATCGATCACAATGCTTTTGAAGCTTTTGAGTAACTTGAGAGTTTCCCACTCTCTTTTTCCCCAGAATATCGCGGCTGTCTCCATCGCCTTCTTATTAATTTATAGCACTTAACCCTGCAACGTATGAATATGAACAAGACAAAACATTGCCCTTGTTTGTAATTTGAAGAAATGAATATGACCCTTTTTCAATATTCTTCCTCGGACAACGACTTGGAATTGCCCTGGAGAGCGTTTATCATCATACTTTTAATATTATTTTTGTTAAAGAATAAAAGAGCTTGTTGGGCGGCATGTACAGGGAATTGAATTAGGTAATGAAAAGGAACCATCAAGGAAGATAACTATGACAGCGCATAAAGACAATGCGTGGGGTTTATTTGTTATATATATTTATCTGATCGATGATAGCAACACTTCTGTAAATTCTAATAATAATACAATAAAATACAATTCTACAACTACATGGTGTAATAATATTAAATAAAAAGCACTTTTCTGACTGTAATTTTGAGTGAAAGCAATGCATGCTTTTGCAACAAGTTTAATTTAACCCTGGGAGCTTTTGTTAGGTTTGGCTTCATGACTTTATATATTGAGATTTGGTTATTTTGTCAAATTTTATATTTGCCCAGAAACACAGCTGAATTACAATTTGATTTCATTATGGCAAACGAACTGTAGGAGGAGAAAAGAAAACAAAAAGGAGAAAAAGCTTTAGCATATATCAGAATCTGAAAAAAGTTTTTGGAATGATGGAACAAATTGATGATATTTTGAATTTGGAAATCTTTTCAGGTTGAATGGGAAAAGATCTATTATTTATGGTACGAATTTTGCAGACTGATAGTAACAAGTCCTCTCAGCAATTAATATTGCAGCAAAAACTCCATATATGTTTAATTATAATTCTGAATTAGTAATTTATAAGTTCATTCTTTTTATCTCACGGGACTTCAAGTTCTTTAATTTTCTTCCTACAATCACAACTCTCCTCTCATTTGCATGAAGTCCCTTTCCTTTGTATCAAGAAACGTTTTCCAGTTTCAGCTGAATTGTATTTTAAGTAATTTGATAGATCTAGGAAGTAATATAATATGCATATTAATGAGTACCCGTTTATAATCTTATATTAATTTAACAGAATCATAACTTTAGGAGAAAGAATGAACTGCATCATTTTGACCAAAACAGAAAAGGGTGCCGGCATATTTTTGTTTTTCTCTGAAATATTCATAACCCTGAGAGAGGGTCCATGAATTGCTTGAGAAAGCAAAGTTAACTGTTAACTCCGCCAACAGACAAAACTATAGAAAGTTTTCACGTTTGTCATCAGAAACAAGAGGGAAAAAAAAAAAAAAAGATTCCCCAGAACCATCCATTAAACGTTCAACATTTTGTTATTAATGGAGAAATGAAATGTACCAAAAGTACTTGTGTACTGATCTCTCTCTGTCTCTCTCTAGGTTAATCCTTCAAAAACACGTGTGGTTTGAGAGAGAGATGAGAGTATTATGTGAAGTGGAAGCAAAAATGTTTCAGTCTCAAATACATTTTGATATGATGATTACCTTGTGAGTGAAGAAAAATGCATCGAAAAAGACAAGATAGAGTCAAAGACAAGAAGACCAACCATCTTTCTCTCTCTTTCTCTTTTAAGGAGGTCCCCCTCCAATCCGTTTTCCACTCAACTCATCAACCAACAACAAACACAATTCACAATTCTCAAATCCTCTCTCTCTTTCTCTCGTTCGTATTCTAAGCAAACCCCGCAACAATCACCATCATCATCACCATTACCACCACATGAAGCCTTCTCATTCTTCTCTCTCTCTTTCTCTCTAAACAGACATCGATCATTTACCTATATAGCTTTATCTCTTCTGAGGCTCCACTAGATCCAAACCATTTTTTTTTTTTTTTGGGCTAAAGCTAGATGACAATGAGGAAGCCGGATCTAATGGGGAAAGATAGCGGCAGACTACTTCAAGTGAACAATAACAATGTTATTAATAAGTCGACAAACAACAAGCTTCGAAAGGGGTTATGGTCTCCTGAAGAAGATGAGAAACTCATCAAGTATATGTTAACCAATGGACAAGGGTGTTGGAGTGATATTGCTAGAAATGCTGGCCTGCAAAGATGTGGCAAGAGTTGTCGTCTTCGTTGGATCAATTACTTGAGACCTGACCTCAAGCGTGGTGCTTTTTCCCCTCAAGAAGAAGATCTCATCATCCATCTGCATTCCATTCTTGGCAACAGGTAAATAATATGTTCACGAATCTAATGATCATGAAACATTCAATTTTATGAGGGAATTTGGCTACATATAGTATTAGTTAATATAAAATTCCTAATAATTTATTAGCTTAATTATATCTATATACAAGACTCTGCACGTTGTCATTGTGACAGGCTGCAACTCATCGATCAAAGCTGCCATAGAGAGTCGTATAGTACAATGTGCATTATCTTCTTACTTTTCTTCTTAACACTATTCCAAACTTCGCTTAGAGAACCCTAATTACATTGTCACATTAGGCTACCCATGACTTGTTAAATTTCCTTAAATTATCTTCATTTTTTATTCATTGTAACTTCCCATTCGGCCATCATTATTAATTTTTATTATTTGATTCTCAGTTAGATTTACAGAAAATCTTTTCATTGTCATCACTTCTCGATCGTCATCAATTCTTGTAGAGTCTCAGATCTTTTGTTCGAAAATTCGGGCCATTTCAAAGATATTAATTTTCTCAACTTTAATTTCTTATTTCTTATTGCCCCAACACTCTGAAAACTTCGAATAATTCATTGCATATTAAGAGTACGCATGCATGACAATCCTCAAATCACATTAATTATATGATTATGTTATATCCTTGCTCTATACTTTCCTCTTCATCTTCTTTAATTCCAATTCCCCTTTTCTTATTTTTCCCCTTTGTGGTCTGAACATTAAGAAATTTCCATCTTTGATTTTTTATTAACACAAGGAAACTTTAAGCACATATATAGTGTAGTAATTACTCCTCTTAATTATTTCTTAGTTTTAGAGTGTAGACTTCAAGCATCCATGCAAAGCATGCAATTTAAAAGATATATATTAATAAGAAAACGTACCCATTTATTATATCTCTCTTATGTTAATTATCTTTGTGTCAAACAATAACAGGTGGTCTCAAATTGCGGCTCGTCTTCCAGGAAGGACAGATAACGAAATAAAGAATTTTTGGAACTCCACGTTAAAGAAAAGATTGAAAAACAACCACCCTGCAGCATCAACTACTTCACCAAATGACAGTGAAAATTCATCAGATCATCATCAACCTAGAGGTGTTATGGGAGCAGGGGGGATGATGATGCCTATGCATGATCATCATGATATCATGACCATCTGCAGGGACTCATCATCTTCATCATCGGCTGCCTCCATCCAAACCATGGTCACACCAAACAATAACCAGTTAATCGATCCCTTCTCTATGCTTGAGATTAATCGCTTTGACATGACAAGCAATGCGCCTTGTTTATTCAATGTGCCTTCTTCATGTGTTGAAAATTACATGGGAGATGGATTATTTTATGGGGATTATGGGGTATTAGAGCCAAGTAAAATGGGATTAGTAGGAGACCTTTCGCTTCCTCCACTAGAAAGTAGATCGAGCGTTGAAGAGAATAATATTAATGCTGCCAAAAACAACAACAACAACAACAACCACTACAATAATAATTCTTCCTTCAATAATACAACTCCTGATCCTGATCAGCAAGGGTTTAAAGTTGGAGATATGTTTGGGTTAGAAAATAATTGGCAAGGAGAAAACTTAAGGGTTGGAGAATGGGATTTCGAGGGTTTGATGGACAATTTATCCTCCTTTCCTTTTCTTGATTTCCAAGTTGAATAATTTGGTCTCTCCTTAATTTCAAACCTTCTATTTTCTCTATTTCACACTCCATATTTTACGTCCTAGGAAATTTTGGGCGACCATTTTTTTTTCAATCAAAACATGTCAAAAACTTTTTAGTTTTGCTTTCATATTTCTTTCTCTTTGTTCTCTCAAAAGCTCTTTCTTTCTTGGCCTCTTCTCATATATATATATATATATATTTGAAGATCTCAAGGTCCTGCAATAAGTATTGCAATGTGGAGATACATAGAATTATTTCAGATCATTTTCATTTTGAGGCACTTTGGTTATGTTTTCAGGACGAGCTGGCCTGGTTGGTGGAATAGTCATAGTAAGTTTCTGAAAAGAGAAATGTGAATAGAGGTGTATAGAAATTATAGAGATTCAAATAATAAAAAGATTAGTTGGTGAGTTGTAGTTTTTATGTACAAATTAATGGGAATAATTTGGAGGTGGGGGTGGTTTTTAGTGGGCGATGAAAAGGATGTTACACAAATTATGTAAACAAATTCATGCTAATAAAAGCAAATTCATGAATTTCTTTCTTTCTTTCTTTCTTTTATCCTTAATTTGTAGTACATTATCATTCAACATTATTAATTTTACTCTTTTTAACATATTTTCACTCTTACTTATCTTCAGAAAAAATATATATACAACACAAAATAAACATATTCCAAGTTTCATATGCGAATTTATATAACAAGATGTTTATGATTGTTTGCTTCTTTCTTTCAACATAATATTCATCTTATAATGTTGGATGATTATATATATATAGATAGATTTAGATACAGATATTGATTAACTAGTTATAGATTTATCAACATCACAATGCTGCTTTTGATATTATCATTCAATCAAGGTAAGGAATCGAAGGAGGAAGTCAAAGAATTGAGTTGCGAGACAATGAGTCTTGAGCTAACAAGCATATATATATTATCATGTGATATTGGTGCCGACAACTTAAATCAATCAAGTTGGGACCAATTAACAGTAACTTCGTCACAATGTCAAATCCATCTTAAGATATGTTGATGTTTGATTTTTATTATCAATTACTCAGCACTTATGAGATGTTAAAGCAGACTTAGACGTCACACGTGATATGTGAATATTTAATTAAATAAAAAGTGCAAGACAATGTTTAAAGTGGTTCAGATGCTCAAAAACGAATCCTACGTCTACTGCTATTGTATTAATGAGAGGGTAGAGGTCAGGTCGCATTCAGTGAGTTGAGCTACTATTTAGAGAGAATATGAGAGAGAGAGAGAGAGAGAGAGAGAGAGAGAGAGAGCTATTTTAGAATAAAATTAGCTAATCCTCCAAACGGGAGGGAAGACTCGTATTTATAGTAGGATAAATCAAGGTAATGATTACTAAATCTACAAGTGGGTGGATACCGTGCAAATTCTTCTCTACATCCCATTGCTTACCTGTCAGAGTGATTTCCTTGACTTATGCTAGGTTTAGACACGTGAACGATTTTCAACCATTTGCTAACCTGACACTCATCCACTACACTGACAGGGGCGTGTGACTTACACCATTACGCAACGTGGCTGCGTTTGAATAGTCACAAAACTTTCTCACGTTCTAACCACCTCATGCTGACAAGGCTCCACGTCAATCCTACATTTTCAGGCATAACAAAATAAGTTTACAATAATATAATATAGCTAAGGATTACAAACATTATGATTAGCTTTATTAATTTATTAACCATTATATCACTAAAATTATGAAAATAAACTCACAATCACTAACCCAGAAAAACCCCCTAAAAAAGAGTAAAAATATATACAATACAGAAAAAAGATGTAAAAGAAAAATTAAACGCGACGCCTGAGAGATTCGAACTCTCGCGGGGAAACCCCATGTACTTAGCAGGCACACGCCTTAACCACTCGGCCAAAGCGTCGTTTTTGAAAGGAGCTAAAACTAGTCATTATTTAAAGTATTTGTAAAATCTGGACCTGAATGAGCCCAATGCTTTTTTTTCATACAAACGACATTGTTGGGCTGGAACTATCAACTATGCAACCCAGAAAAGAGATCCTGGCATGCACCATATAGATTTTCTTAATTTTTTATAAAGTCTTTCACTTAAATCTCTAATAATAATTTTTGGGTACTACTTCAATTACAAACTCTTTTATACAAACTTATGCATTTTAAAATGATTAGATAACTATAAATTTTGAAAATAAATTAAATAATTAAAAGAGATTGCATAACAAATATGTCGGATTAGCACATGTAGAGAATAATTTGTATAAATAACATTATCTTTTTTACAACTTTTATTTGATATCTATTTTAGCTCGGGTCATTAATTAGAGACAAAGAGAATCTGTAAACCACCATGAATCATGAATTTTCCATAACCCAAATAATAAATTATTATTATTATTATGCCTTTGTTCTCATGAGATAAGATATTCTCTGTCATATATTCGAAACAATATTCACCATCACTTTTCTTTGGTTATTTCTTTTGTCTCACATTGATGACTTTAGTAGAAAATGAAAACTCATAAAACTACTTGAGTTTAATCATACGTTCATGGCCAAGCCTCGCTCTACAATTAGTAAAAGTTCTGTTGATGCGTGATTTTTGATACCAACTAATTGACACGTGCGCAACGTTGATTGATCAAGAGACACACGTGATTATGAGTAAAAAGTGAAACAAATGCAATGAGAGCCTTTTAAAGTGGTTCGGATGCTAAGGTAATAAGTCCTACGTCCACTGATTTGTATTAATATAGTGGGTCAGGTCGCAACAGCGGACTGACTTACAAATGATTGGCAAGAAAAGTAAATACAAAGTTAACACAAAGAGAGAGAGAGAGCTAATTTCATGTGTAAAGTAGCCGAATCCCCTTAATGAAGGGGTCTTCCTCTTTTTATAGTGAGGTGAGTGCAAGTAATCATCAATAAATCCATGGGTTGATGTGAATGTCAGGAGTAAATCCGGCTTTATGTTACATTTCTCATCTTCCAAACTGATTTTGCGCGACTTAGAGCAGGGAAAGGGACACGTGGGAGCTCCATAGCTATTGGCAGGCCTGACGTGTGTTTACCGTTCTGACAGAAGCAGGTCACCCCCCCATCACGTGATTTCCTACGTCAGCCCTTGATTTTCCAGTAGTAACAAGTTCAAATACTTATAAGTAGCATGCTTTAGAACTTGAGGACCATGTATACTTCAATCCAAATAACGAAATTAAATAATTGACAGGAAGAGGAGGTGGACAGCCACAAAGCTTGATGGGATCTGGTTTCGATAGCAGTTTAGATAAAGAAGAATGATGGTAGCTAGTGAGTAGTGAAATTGATTATGTCTTTGTATAAAAGCAAAAGCTGCTCCATCCCATTTCATTTTTTTTATAAATCTATTAATCTTCTCACTATAGTTTTAATCATGAATGTGTGTATGGACTCTCACTCTTCCCTTCAAAACCAAGCAATTGAATTGCTCATTAACGCTCATTGATACACCTATAATCTTTCATTTCTTGATCAATAAATTAAGCAATCTAAGCCTATATATATAGCAATTAATATTTTACCCGAATAATTATTTATGCTTTATATATATATATATATATTGCAATTACTATTTTACCCGAATAATTATTTATGCTTCAAGCATACATTTTTTCAACATCCAATTGAGGATCTTGCGATTGATCATTAAATAAAACAATCAATCATGCAGTTTGTGAGAGATCTAGCTATATTTCTTGTGAATGACTTCACATTGATTGGGCAACTCAATATCAAACTCCTGCACCAGGCCACCTTAACATTTCATTCATCAAAATGCCCTCTATGGGAACCCATTAATATCTCTCACAGGATAAAGATGTTATATAATTACTAATTCAAACGACCCTTTCTGAAAACAACTTTATATTATAAAATATTTATGTAACGTCCCCAAATAGCATCAAATTGCTATAGTTAATTAATAGTTGCTTGTAAATTTATGAGCAGAGACAATATAATGTCAGTGAGCACTAAACACTGTATAATCATGTACATCTCTTAATGAAAAACACCTTTTCCCCTCCTTTTTGTCTAAGAGATGTAAAGCTTTTACTATTAAGAATATAAAAACTACAGTTAAAAGAATGAATAGAAATGTTAAAGCGTGCTTACTTTGCTATCATTCCTAGGATAAAGATAGAGAAAATTCGGTGTAAAGCAATCCATAATTCTCGCTGTTTCTCTAATCTTTCTCGGCTTGCAGCTCTCATTAATTGGCTCATAATTTTGAGAGATCAACGGTATTTATTGAAGTCACGTATTCTTTCTGTATAGAGTGTGAACCTTCTGGCTATGGCGGCTTATGTCTCATGAAGCCAAGCCAAATTGGTAATTAACCTCCTGAAAGTAAGCAATGTGATCTTTCTCCAGTTTAAAAACCTCCCAAAACCCCAAAGGTCAGAACTCAGAATCCTCATCTTTCTCTCTCTCTTTTGTTTCACCATCTTCATGTCCACTCACATTCCAAGAATGGACTGTGAAGATCAAGAAACCCCAATTTTTCATTCTTATCCTTGTGCTTATTACGTTCAAAGCCCCTCCACTATCTCCCATGCAAACAGCTCCGACATTCGCGGCCACACCGCCATTGAATCAGCTATCTATTCCCCAACTCGCTCCGAAACAAACACCACCACCGCCACTACCACAACGTTTCTCAACAAGAACAACCTTGAAGTCTCGAGATTCACTCTCTCTCGTTACTCCTCCTCTCGTGGATCCAACAACTCTTTCTTGCATGATCAGAAGAAGGCTATAGCTGATGATCATGACGGGCCTACTGACATTGATCATGAGAGCACTGGCCAGAACCGTCAGATTATCGTTGATCATCATCATGGTAATGGTGATGATGAAGAAGATGAGGATTGGCATTATGGAAGCAATTATAAGAAAGGGATATGGTGGAGGTATTTTTCTTTTAGAAGGTCTAATTCTTGTGCATGGATTTCTTTGCAAATAAGTTGGAGACTTCTATTCAGTTTGGGAATTGCATTGCTTGTATTTTATATTTCTACAAAGCCTCCAACCCCTAAGATATCTATCAAGGTACATAACTTAACTCCAGCTTTTAATAAGTTTAATTTTCCCCCTAGTAAACATTAATAAATTAATGTTCTTTTAAGTTTAATTCTTAGTTTGAACTGAAATGGGCATGTAATAGGCTTCAAATTATACCATATCATTCTTATTATCATGTTTGACATCTTGAGTTGAAAAAGAGTTCCATAATAATTGTTTTAGTCGGGATATTCAGTTATAAATAATAAATTTTGTTAAGGTCTTAAGCATAATCTTAGAAAGTTAATGACGACTTGACTAGAGAATTATGGAAGAATTGACTTTGTTGCATTTAATAGTTAATTTCGTTGAAAACATGTATTGCAGAAGGCAGAAATTCACGAATTTGGACTAGGCGAAGGAGTGGACGGCACCGGTGTCACAACTAAGATTCTCACTTGCAATTGCTCCATTGATCTACTTATAGACAACAAATCTAAGCTCTTTGGCCTCCACATTCACCCCCCAACCATGGAAATGTCCTTTGGCCGTCTCCCTTTTGCATCATCACATGTAAAAATACCTAAAATTCAATACAGTTTGTAATAATCGAAACAAGAGATAACGTTATTCTAATAAGTAACATAACATAATGAGTTTATATGCATGCAGGGCCCAAAACTATATGCGGCAGGCCATGGGTCGACATTGTTCGACTTATATATAGGAACAAGAAACAAGCCCATGTATGGTGCCGGGAGGACCATGGAGGACATGCTAGAGTCAGGAAGGGGATTGCCTTTGATTATGCGTTTGAGGTTGAGGTCAAATTACCGGGTTGTTTGGGACCTTATAAAGCCCAAGTTCTACCACGAAGTCCAATGTTTATTGGTTCTCAATGCCAAATATGACAAGAAACATCGAACCCAAACATTTAATAGCACTTGTTCTATAAAAACTTTTAATTAAACATTAATGCAATTGTCTCCCGGACTTCTCAAACGTGTCCTGGATTTTGATGTTTATATATATTTGTTGCCTAAGCCATTGCATGTATTGGCATATATAATGTTATTACAAATGCAGAAAGATCATTTTGCTTGTAAGTTTAATAGAAAATTTAAGTTTATTTTTTTACACTTGAAATTAACATGATTTCTTGTATGTGTTTAATACTCGATCTTATGATGAAGAATGCAAGTTCCGTTAATCAAAGCTGCACTAAATTAACCACTAGACTTGTGACCGGTTACAAGATTTAGCCATTTGGATGGTTTCCAAAAGTTTGTATTTGAATCTTACAAAATAGTCATCTATCTATTTGTGTCTTACCTACTATTAGATTTATATAGTGTTCAATTAATGGATCTCAATGAGTATTGAGATGCACATAAGCTGACTGGACACCCAGTTATCAAAAAAAAAAAAAAAAAAAAAATCATAAATTAAACAAACTCTTTTGTAGCCTTAGATCGATTGAAGTTTAGAAACAACAACCGTTTGTCTGAATACATCAATCTGTCTTCTGAAGTATTTGTATACAAGAGTTAAATTGCAATACAGAGCGAAATTTTAACTCCTGTATACGAGAAACTCAAAATCAGATTTTAGGTTTATATCTGAAAATTGAAGTTAAGTTTTTTGCAGTTATTCATTCCTACCTGGCCTCTCTAATTAGAGGAGTACTCTTCATTGGGTTTAAGAATCGACACAAGACAGTGCTGAAAAGCAACAGATGTTTTCTTATTAGAGGAGTACTCCTGAAAGATGCCACATGTTCTAGTGATGGAAGCTGTATATATGAAGCAGACGATATACCTAGTTTATTTACTTCAGAGACAGGCTGGGATGAATAGATGATTTAATGAAACTTTGGGTATTGAAATCAACAACTTCAGTGAAGGACAAAAAAGTGGAGGTGGGACTTAATATCAGGAGATCCAGGTATTCTTTGCGCATGGCTTTGAGCCAAAAGACATCCAACAAACACAAGATCATCTTGCTCCTTCACATCTTATTCGATTTGCCTCTTAATTCAACAACTAGAAGAAAAAGATTTGTCATCAGTTCTTATTTTTCGTGCTTTGAGCCAAAAGACATCAACACACAAGATCATCTTGTCCTATCACATTTTATTCTATTGCCTCTTAATCAAACTAGAGAAAAAGATTCTCATCAGTATCTTATTTTATAAAGCTAAAGTGTGAACTGTGTACAATTTTATTTTTATTTTAGAATATAGTGTAATTAGCGCCCCCTTGGTATAATGGAACTTACGAGAGGAGGGGCGGCTTTCAACCATAACGCCACCTATCATCCGGCCACATGTGGGTGGTTAATTGTGTACATTTTTACATCAAATATGTAATATAACATATATGTAATGTACTCTAGATTTATTTTATATATAATCCGTTAGGATGATAGAATCTACTCTTAATTCAATCTTTTTGAACAAAATACAAAATTATTGTTGTGAGTGAATGCTGAAACGGCGGTCGTACTGAATTAATGGAACGGTGTCGTTTTGAGACAGCTCCTGGATGATCCTGACGCTGATTCAGAGGAAAAGCCAACGCTGAGATCAAGCCTCCAGTCAACACTATAAAAGGATTGGGTTTCCTATTGTAACAGTAGATCAAACATAAAAGGTCGAGAGCAGTTTTTTCGTTTTCTTTGGAAAAACTAGGGTTCTTCTTTAGGTCTGATTTCAATGTAATCTGGGGTTTTGAGTGGTTTGGGTTAATCAATCAAGGGAAGAACTACTGTGTTCTTGTTATAGGGATTCTGGTTAGAGGAGTTAAGGCAGATTACGGGTTTGGACAGAGTTGTTGATCTGGGTTTTCTGGGTGTCATTCTTTGTAATCGTGACTGTATCGGTTGTTCTTTAATCATAGTGCAGCGAACTCCCTTCCAGAGTTCAACGTGGATGTAGCTGCTCAAATCAGGCAAGTGAACGACGGTAAAGATCGATGTTTATTGTTTGGGGTTTTCTGGTTTCTTGTTTTGTTCAGTTTGCTTTTTTAGGGTGATTGCATAACAGTGGTATCAGAGCCATCATCCTAGGGTGTAATCTATTTTTTAGAAATCGTTCAATTTTTGACAGATCGAAAAAATTAGGGTTTGCTCGAAAAATTGGGTTTCTCATATTTTAGGGGTTTCTTAATCCAAAGGTTCCTAGAGCCTTAGACTTTGATTCTTACTGAGTCTTGGGGTTACTTTGTGAGTTAGATCACAAACACTGGTTAAGGAGAGTAATCTTGGTCAGTGCCGTGAATCTGTACTTGCAGTGTTCTCTTTTGGTTGTCTGTCCAGTTTAAGGTATATAGGTGGAAACTAGTGACCACTTAAAAACTGCTTGGCAGTATTTGACAACCTCTGGTGTAACAACGCCATTTACGCCTTAGATTGTACTTGTAGTGTTCTCTTTCGGTTGTCGTCCAGTTTAAGGGTATATAGGCTGGAAACCAGTGCTGCCTAAAAACTGCTTGGCAGTATTTGACAACTTTTGGTGTAACAACGCCACTTACCTTAGACTGTATCACACTGTCTATATAATACCATGAGCACTACACGTATGGAGGTCTCCCAATACGATGGGAAGATCGATTTCGGGAGTTGGAAGAAGAAAATGAAGGCTCTGCTTCAATAACAAAGTCGGCCTTGCACTGGAGAAGGATCAAAAGAAATGGTCCGAGGAGAAATTGAAGGAGAATGAGGAGAGATGATGAAGTAGCCTACAATCTGATCGTGATGAACCTCTAGATAGTGTACTGAGGAAGGTTGATGGCATCGAAACCCCTTAAGGTATGGGGTAAACTCGAAACTTTGTATGCACTTCAGTTGCACCAAACTTAGCTTTTCTCAAGGGTGCTTGTTTTTTATAAATGGATAGTAGCAGACAATAGAGGAGAACCTAGAGAATTCCTTAAAAATGACAATTTTAAAGGGCACAGATCAGGAACTAGGAGAGACTAGTCTAGCCATGATTCTGTTAAACTCCATTACGAGGATTATCTTGTTGTTAAGAATGCACTTCAGTATTCCGGTATTGTCCCTAGTGTTGACTTGATTGTGGTGGTCTTAAGGCTAGAGAACTTGAGTTAAAAGTCCAAAAACGAAGTGGGAGTAACCTGTTTGTTAGGGGAAAACCAGATACCTTTCAATCTGGTAAGGCAGTCAACCTAGCTAGGGGTCCAAAAACAAGAAACGGGGTAATGGAACAATAAGCATAGGCAGAGTCTAGAAAATGTTTTTTCTGTAATAAAACTGGTCATTGAAAAAGATTGCTTTGAATGGTTAAGAAACAAAAGCAGGGAAACACAGAGAGTAACCTAGCCTCATCCAAACACTTAGCTGAGAAAAAAGAGGTCCTTATTGCTCTGTTATGACAATACAAGAGAGGTGGTGTTAGATTCTGAGTGCTCTTTTCACATGAGCCCCAATAGGGACTGGTTTCATGACTGAGGAATATGATAGGGAGACTGTGTTAATGGGGAACAACAATGCTGTAGGTCAAAGGTAAATGCAGATAACCCTTAGACTCTGTAGTGGGAAACTAATAAAACTTACTCATGTTAGGTACTCCAGAACTTAAAAGGAACCATATCCTTAGGAACTTAGATGAAGAAGGATGCTATTACAGAGGAAAATGGGTGGCTGAATGTGTATAGAAACCAGAATCTAATTCTGAAGGAGGAAAAAAGAAATGGGTTATCATCCTATGTGGAGATATTATTCTGATTGCCTAAGTTCTTCTCTTGTCACCAAATATGTCAGTAACAGAAAATGGCATCTTAGGATGGGACATATGAGTCAGAAGGGACTAGATATCCTAAGTAACCAAGGCATGTTAGGAAAGGACACTGCTGCAACCTTAGAATTTTGTGAGAACTGCATTTTAGGAAAACAACACAGAGTCAGTTTCCAAAAGGCATACACCTAGCCAAAGGTTGTTAGAATACATACACATCAGACTATGGAGACCTGAGAGAGTGAGGTCTCATGGGGGCGAGTAGTATTCGAACAGGACACTCTTGGAAAAAGTCAGATGCTTGTTGTCACTAGGGTTACCTAATACTCTGGGGAGAGGCCTTGTCCACTGCAGCCTATCTGATAAATAGGAGCCCCTCAACTGCCATAAATTTCAAATGTCCTGAAGAAGTTTGGTCAAGAAGAAAGTCTGGTTTAAGCCATTTGAGAATCTTTGGTGTACAGCCTATGCACATACAGTGGGAGGAAGAGCATAGACCACCAAGTGTGTGTTCCTAGGATATCAAGAGGGTACCAAGGGGTATAGACTCTGGGACAGAAATTCACCAAGGGTAAAAATCTCATTTCCAGGGATGTGGTCTTTAATGAAGGGGAGTCCTTGTAAAAACAATGAACAGAACACTGGTACAAGCACCCCAAATGAACCTACCAAGGATACAACTGAGAGTACACACCATTGAGGTGGAGCCTGTGGGTCCAGGCTAAACCACCTCAACCCAATGAGGAACATGCACATGAAAACCAACCAGGATTAGAGGATCCTGGATCTGATAGTGAAGAAAATGAAGCAGTGCCTCAGAACCCAACATGCACAATCAGAACACTATCAACTTGCAGAGATAGAATAGAAGGGAGGTAAGACCCCCTGCCAGGTTTTTTCTAGTGAACTAATATACACGGCTTTGCTTGCAGGAACAGGGATTCAAAGAACGAAACCAGACTAATGAAGAAGCCATGAACTCTAAGGAAAGGGAAAAATGGAGGCAAGCAATGGAAGAGGAAATGAGGTCATTGAGGTAAAAGAAACCTGGTCCTGGTTCCCAAACCCAAGGATCAAAAGCTAATCAAATGCAGATGGTTGTACAAGATTAAAGAGGGGATCTCAGCTACTGACCCCTTTAGGTACAAGGCCAGGTTAGTAGCTAAGGGTTACACCAACGTGAAGGAATAAACTTCAATGAAGTCTTTTCCCCTGTAGTCAAGTATAAAACCATTAGGTTAATGCTCTCCATTGTTGCCCATATAAACTAGAGTTAGAACAGATGGATGTTACCACTGCCTTTCTGCATGGTACTTAGAAGAGGAGATTTACATG